GGGGAGGGGCCCCCCCCCCCCCAGTGGAGGGGCTCCGGCCAGGCCGCTCCCGGCACGCGGCTCTAAACATCTTCAGTTTTAAGAAGAGCTGTGTTCCCTTTGGTTCCTGAGACCCCGCTTACAGCCAGCAAAACTGGCCTTGGACACAGCCTTCCAGATAGAGCTGCCTTTTAGAAGTTCTGTTCCCAGCAGGTCTCGGTTATTTGTCACCAAAGTTCAGCAGCAGGGTCCTCCCGAAGTCGACTTTTTCATGGAGCGTGGTTAGGCTGCACTCCTGTCTCCATTTTTCCATCCTTTTGGGATTCTTGACACACGCGCTTGGTGTGTTTTTCAGGACTCCAGGGCTGGTATTTGAATCCCGGATGGCCTTGTCAGATCTTTCTTAACCAGTAGGCTACAGGTGGGCCCCGTTTGTTTCCTCATGCGAAAAGTCCAGCTTGCTCTTGAGAACCATCCCCTGTAACCTACTGTTCCCTGCTTTCTGCATTTCTTGAAAACTTTTTATGGCAATTCAGAAATTTCTCCAAGTAAGTTTTATTTATTATTTTTTCTAAATGGATTATTTTTTTCTCTGGTTTATATGCAGCAGAGAAGAGGAATCCTGTCTTATTGGTATTTATAAAGCCTAGAAAAAAAGAGTCTCAGAGATTGCTTAAAATGTTATTCTCCCAGGACCAGCAGTTGGTGTAATGGCTATGTCACTGGATTCCCATGTAGTCAACTGCGGTTTGAATCCTACACCTGGTGGCTTAAACTCATGCTTGGCGCGTGTGCATGCCCAAGATCCGAGAGGAGAATGGAGAAGGGATTGTGGTGTGGCCATCCCCCCTGGGGAGGTGATTTCTCGCTTTCTGTCTCTCCTTCTCTCTCTTTCTGGCTAGCGCATGCACCCTATATCAAAAACCTCTCCTTGGGGCCAGCGGGTGGCATGGTGGTTAAGGCGTTGGACACTCCCACATGGCTGACCATGGTTTGAGTCCTGAACCTGGGGGCTTGACATCTCACTTTTCCCCTCTCTGTCTCTGTCTCTCTCTGGTCAAATTAAAATAAATAAAATTAAATAATTCTTAAAAAAATATTAAAAAAAAAAAACACCTCTCCTTTAAAAAAATGTTTTTCTCCCACCTAACATTACTAATAATTTTCTAACTTCTCTGGCAGGGATGAGTTTATATGCTAGGACACAATGGCTGTGATTTTATGAGTAATTATAGCTCTGAGCTTTTTACCTTTACTATTTCAAAATTATTTGAAGTGTTCGTCAATTGCAGATCAGAAGACTGAAACCTCATCCCTCTGTGATCATATGGAGTGGCAATAATGAAAACGAAGCAGCTCTGATGACGAACTGGTACGCTATAGACCCCAGGGACCTGCAGACCTACATCGATGACTATGTGACGCTCTATGTGAAAAACATCAGAGAGGCTGTCTTGGCAGTAAGTCAGACTTTTTGACATAAGAGAAGTTCAGAAGATGTGTTTTTTTTTTTAAAAAGAGTTACTTATTTAATTTTATATGTTATTATTATTATTAAATTTGACCAGAGAGGGAGAGGGCAAGTGAGAAAGCAAGCTGCTGGTTCAGGACTTGAGCTGTCATCGGGCAAGAGGGAGTCTAACACCTTAACCTTTGCAGGCCCCTTGAAATAGGTTTTTAAACTGGATGTTTGAATACTGACGTAGTGTATGTTATGTCCTCTTTGAAGGTAATCTTCAACAGTATCGTTCAACCGTATTGTACTCATTGTAATGCCACGGCGCAGGAGAGGACTCACAGGCGTGGACTCTGAGGGTTGGCTCCTCCATGGTCCCCCACCCCCCACAGGACATGCTGACAATTTACCTTCTCCTTGGAGTCTGTCTGCGGGTCCCCAGAGGTTTAGAATCTCTGGATCAGTTGATTCGATATGCCACATCTGCAGTTCTGTCATTGCAAATGCTAACCTGGGATTTGTACATGGATGTCATCTGTGAACCTGCTGGTGTGAGCGGAATGGGGCTGAGGGGCAGCGAAGGCTGCTCCCCCCAGCGTGGGGCCCATCCCCTGAGGTGGTTCTGTGCACCTGTTTGCCTAGTAGGCATATTAAACAGGCACCCATTCATATAAATTGGCCGGGGCCTGCAGGTAGCGTAGTGGTTAAAGGGGCTGAACTCCCACATGGCCGACAACAGCTTGAGTCCTGGACCCAGGGGCTTGAAACTGACGCCAGGTACATACGTGCGCATGCCCAAAATCCTAAGAGGAGAATGGAGAAGAGATTGCAGTGTGACCATTATCCCAGAGGGTAATTTCTTGACTTCTGTCTCTGTCTCTCCAACCAGTGCATGCACCCTATCTAAAAAAACCCTAATATGTGTGTGTGTGTGTGTGTGTGTTATCTATTTTCATTAATGACTTCAAAAGATTAAACTTTTTAAAAAATCTTACTATTTAACATGTAATATAATCACTTGCTTGTCTTTATAATTATGTATCTATAATTAGGTTTTATTTTATTTTGTTTTATTTTATTTTGAGAGGATTTTGCTATAGGGTGTGTGCCCTTGCTGGAGAGACAGAAAGTGAGAAGTCACCCCCCCAGGGAGGATGACCACGCTGCAATCCCTTCCCTCCATTCTCCTCTTGGGATTTTGGGCACGCATGCACATGTGCCCGATGTGAGTTTGAAGCCATTGGGTCTGGGACTCGAACCTCGGTCGACTAGGGGAGTCCTGTGACATAACCATTACGCCATTTGCTCATCCCTATAATTATGTGTTTTAAATACCTGGGAACAGCTTGAAGCAATCTGAAAAGGGACATATATTTTAGAGTAGTATGTGACAGGATCCCTAAATATTTCCAGCTGATGGTGCTAATCTGTCAGGATGGCTCATGAGAACACCGATCTGCACTGATGGCTTACTTGATATTCTGTGTCATGAAGATTGTTCTAGTCACAAAAATGTGACAGGATAGCTTTAATTAATGTTTGCAGGACTCTGTTTTGTAATCTTTTTACTCACAGTATTGCTATTAAGAAATAGATTTCAGTATCTGAAGATTTTCATTTTGCAGCATAGTGCTTAGGAATGAAAATCCAGAAGGTGCGGGACCACGTACTGTCTATATAATCCTGGGCAGGTTTCTTAATCTCCACCTTCGTGTCTATAAAATTGGCTTAAGAAGGAGGACTAACTCTTACGAGTTGTTTTGTGGACTGAGGTGATGGAAGGAAGGTGCATAACACACACCCTGGCGCTTGGTGACCTTTCAGTCAGTGCTCGGCGTCATCGTCCTTAGTATCAGTCAACAGATAATTACAGCTTAAGCTCTATTTTTTTTTTTTTTAACGTTTTTGCCATACAGTACATGCACTCACTGGAGAGAGAAAGAGAGGGAAAGAGAGATCATCCCGTCAGGGGGAATGGCCATGCCACAATCCCTTCTCCATTCTCCTCTCTGAATTTTGAGCATACATGCACACGTGCCCAGCGTGATTTTCAAGCCACTGGTGCCAGGACCAGAACTCTGGTTGGCCATTTGGGATGCTAGCACCTTAACCACCATGCCACCTGCTGGGCTGTTTAATCTCTAATTTTAATAATACATCCTTGAATTTAAAACATGTAGCCTCTGTGTGCTGCTTCTCTGTCTCTGAAATGGAAGGTGACTCCTTTCTCACACGGGACATATTTATCTGAAGGGGCATTATGAGCAATAATTGATGTCTCAGAGTTCCCGAAGGCGGACAGGACTGAGTGCCACGTAATCATTCCTGTTGCTGTTTCTAACAAGAATACCGAGTTTAAGGAAGGGCACCATCAAGCGCCACAAATTACAATGATGAGCGACCTCTGGCATTTCCTGCTTTCTTATTGCGGCCATTTCTTGCTTCATCTTATGGTATCTCTTGGTCCAGATAAACACTTAAGGTCATGACCTAGGAAGAGATTATCTGTGAGAATCATAACAAAAACCCAGGCCTCACAAATAAATGGCTTATAAACAGAAGAAAATGTAACATCAAAGTGGACCTTTTTAGGCAGAGACTCATTACTGACTGGCTTAGCTTACCAAAATGCTCAGAAATCCAAAGTAATGGAAGAACGCACACATGCCCAGCGTGAAGTTTAAGCCGTGGGTCTGGTACTCCAGCTGTAGTTGACTACGTGGGAGTCCAGCAATGTAACCATTGCCCCATCTGCTGCTGGTCCCAGGACTTGATAATATTTTTAAAGAAGTAAATGATTCAGGGGCCAACAGGTGGCATGGAGGTTAAGGCACTGGATTGCACATGGCTCACTTTGTAGTTCAAGCCCCAGACTGGCAGCTGGAACATCGTCTAAGCGGATGTGTGGATGCCTGAGAGGGGACTGGAGGAGAAGGGACTGTGGCATGGTCATCTCCCTGGGGGGGTTTATAAGGGATTGATTTGGGGCCAGCACTATAGCCTAGTGGTTCAGGGAGCCAGATCCCAACTACAATTTGAATCTCAGCTCTGGTGGCTTGAAAAATACACTGTGCACATGTGTGTGGGTGCCCCAAATCCTGACAGGATGGACAGAGGAGAAGGGATTGCAGCAGGACCACACCTCGTTGCGGGGATGCTTGGCCTCCTCCCTCGCTCTCTGTCTCTAGTGAGCACACATGCCCTCTGGCAAAATGCAGATAAATAAATAAGTGACCTATTCTTTAGTGGATGACAATTATCCTTTAAATCATGGTGTTTCTGGACTCAGGGAGACAAGAGTCGTCCTTTTATTACATCCAGTCCTACCAACGGGGTCGAGAGCATCGCAGAAGGCTGGGTCTCTACTAACCCGTACAGTACACATTTTGGAGATGTGCATTTCTATGACTATGCCAGTGACTGCTGGGATTGGAGAATCTTCCCTAAAGCTCGATTCATATCTGAATATGGATACCAGTCCTGGCCTTCCTTCAGTACGTTAGAACAGGTAAGCCGTCATTTGATTTTCCAGGGCTTGACAGTGGAAACCGTGGGCCTTGGGTCGAGTGGTTTAGAAAGTGGATGAAATCTGCTTGTCCAAGTGAACGTTTAAAAAGAAAACGAGAAAAGAGGACTTCTCTTATTCTTTAGCTTTTGGGGAGCTGAATTCTTATAATCATTTCGGAGATTAGAACTTTCATATATTGCTTTTAATTATGTGCCTTTGGGAACATATAAAAGTTAAATAGAAAACGACATCTTATCACACGTGAAAATGACTCTGAGCTCGCTGCTCTCGTACATCCGGCCACTGTCGTGCTTCGTCATTTACGGACACTTACATAATAGGACTGAGTTTTCACACAGGAAGAGGTGAAGGCGGTAAGCCAGCCTTTGTCTGATCTTATCGTGTCTCTTCTCCTCTTCCTTCTTCCGTTTCTCCTCCTCTTCCTTTCTCTGCACATTGGTGGATTTGATTTTCTCTTCGGGTTTCCACTGTCCTCGTTCCTAAAGCTTCAGTGTCAAAGTTAGGTGTGCTCTTTTTACACAGCTTTGCTGAGATAGAATTCCCTTACTGTATGTGAACCCATTAAGTGTGTATGCGCGACTCAGTGGTCGTCACCAGATTCAGAGTCGTGTGACCATGAGGCAAACGAATCTGAGGACATTTTCATCCCTTAAAAGGAACCCTGAACCTCTCAGTGCCACAATCTGCTCCCCGCTTACCTTAGCCCTGGGCACCACGAACCCACTTCACGTGTCTGTAGAGTGCCTGTTGTGCATTTCCTGTGTTTGGAATCACACAGTATGTGGTCTTTTGAGACTTTCATAAAAGGTGATTTATTTATTTCTTTGCATGCGGAGGAGAGAGACAGAGAAAGACCCGGAGGGGCAGGCGTCCCCAATGGCGTCTTCCTGCTGCAGTCCATTCTGGATCAGGGACACACGCATGCCTGTGCATAGGGAGGTCCCTGGGCGCAAATCCAGGACCTTCCCACGTGGGTCAGCGTATCCCCACTTCGCCACCACCTGGTCCCAGACTGGCTTCTGCGACAGCGGACAGCGTTGAAGGGCCACGCTGCTGCTCCTGCATCTGTGTGCCATTCCTGGCTGGTGCAGCTGTTCTGTCCATGTCCCACTTCCCAGATCCACCGACCAGGTGACGGGTGTTTGTGTTCTCTTTGTGGCTATTATGAGTAATGCTGCCCTGAACATTCCTGTGCACGTTTTTGTCAGAGCACAGGGTTTCGATCCTGCTGGGTCTGTGCGGGAGCAGGGAGGTCAAAAGATGTGCTTCCGACTTTAAAAGGAGGAGGCGCGGACGGAGGCTCTTGGGGAAGTGTGCCCCAGCACGTGTGCACAAGGGCTGCAAGTGCAAATACTCCTGCCGTACAGAGAAGACAGGCGTAATTCATGTTCTCAAGGTGATTCTGGGGGTGGCAATTTGGAAAAATAGATATAATTGGGAAACACTTCCAAATTAAACATGGCTCACGGTCATTTCTCATATTTTGGTATGAATCGGTATCCACAGAATAACTTTGACCTTTTGAAGTGAGTGGCCCGTGTGTTGCATGATTACCGGGAATTATCAGTCATCCTTTATGGACGATAATGAAACTTTCGAATTTTCAGGGTTTTGGGTAGGGGGCAGGGTATGTGTTTTCAAAGCCTCTGTGTAACTTGCATGAAAACTCTGTACTTTCAGAGGTAGCCAGCAATTGTTGCGTCTTTCTCAAATGCTAACAGTGCATTAAATTACAGGCCTACGAGCCAGAATTGATGCTTTTTTTTTTTTCCTGAAAAAGACAACACGCGTAAGGTATTTGTTTTTGTCTTTTTTGTTTGTTTGTTTTTTGCTTTGAACAGATGATAAAAGAAAGCTTCTATAAATTAGGATATAAAACATAAATTAAAGAGTCTATATAATTTGTGCTTGGCTTAAAAAAAGACAAATTCTTAGAGAAGAGTATCATTATTTGATTTTTGTCTTCACCGAGATCAAAATTAAACACGTGTTTATCAGTTCTGTTTAGTAACCCCTGAGAAACAGTGGAGCAGTATGACCGAGCTCTGAAATGTTTGCCATTGCGATAGTGGTATTTTACTCCGATTTAAGAATGCCAGCAGTGGCAACGAGATGTTGATTGCAGTCTGCTCAGGCCTCACAAGTTACAAGTAGATAAAATGCTATTTCAAAATGCAAGTGGGGCCAGGTGCAGCTGGACCCACGTGGGAACCATCTGGGTTCAGGTCCTGGGACCTCCCGCAGTGTGACAAGGATGCACGTATGTGCCCTGATCTGGGCTGGCTGAGACGGGTGGGTTGTGGTGTGAAGACCCGATGGGGCTGCCTGATTCCCTGTCTTTCTGTCTCTGTCTCTATCTCTATCTCTTTCTCTCATGGAAGAAATAAATCTGTAAACTTAAAACAAATGCAAATGATAAAAATGCTTCAAAAATCAGGAATATGTTTGATAAGGTCAAACTTCAGAGAGAAACACCAGCTTTCTCGGATTGAATTGGGGAGGCTCTAGACGCCAAGGCTAGTCTTAGCACAAGGCTAGTCTTTCACCAATAATAAAAACGATGCAAAAACACTTGTGAAATGAGAGCCACCGAAATAACCCTGAGCTTTTTTCCGGTGTGTAGAGTGCTTTTCAGATTTATCAGGAGCTTACAGAAAAGAGAATTTCTCAATTTATGACTGACTCTTTATTTAAAAGGTCTCGTCTAAAAATGACTGGTCTTACGACAGCAACTTTTCACTTCATCGACAACATCATTCAGGGGGAAACAGTGAAATGCTTCATCAGGCCCAGCTTCATTTCAAACTCCCCCAAAGCCCAGACCCAGTGCGTGCCTTTAAGGATACGATCTACCTTACGCAGGTAAGCTGTGTTCGTTTTGGAGCTGAACGGGTTCCTGCAGCTAGCATAGAAGGCTGTGCATGTTTTATGCACCTCTTCATGTATTCTGGATACTAGGTTCCTATCAGATATATGATTAGTAAATTTCTTCTTTCATTCTGAGGATTCTCTTTTCACTTCGATAATGTTTTTTGCTATACGGACGTTTTTGATTCCGATGGTGTACAATTTCTCTGTTTTTCCCTTGGTTACTTGTCCTGTAGGTGTCAGATTAACAACTAAATATGCATTAATTTTAAAAAGTCTACTATTTCTTTCGTGAAAGAGAGGAAGAGAGAAAGAGAGGAAGAGAGAAAGAGAGAGAGAGACAGGGATCCCCAGTGGGGTCTTGTCACTCTGCGATCTCCCCTCTAGATTTCTAGCCAGCCAGGATCACAGGCTGTCTGGGTTGGCCCAGGGACTGAACCTAGGGCCTTCCCTGGGCTTCCAGTTCTGTGCAGCAGCACCCTACCACCCGTGCCACTGTGGCTGGCCCCAAAACACATCAGTTTTTATCCAAACTCATGCTCCCTCTCAGCACTTTTGTCCTGTCTGAAAACGCAAACCCCTGGAGAGAAGCCGAAGCAGAAAACTAAGACAACTTTTAGAAGGAGGTGAAACAATTACGGGAGTTTTCCTGTCTTAAACATAATCTTGTACATTAGGGCTCGGTGTATAAATCACGAATTTACCAGAACGCAAGGTTAAAGGTAATGTTGACGTCTGTGCTTTTAAAAGTGTTGGAGTCCATCTTTAAGATTTTCCTAACCAATGTTCTATTACATGCTTAGATATGCGGAGCAGGGCGATTCTCATTTGTGTGTGTGTGTGAGTGTGCACGTGTGGGAGTGCATGTGTACCTTTTCTTTCTTTAATAATTCTTTTAAAAATATCTATTTAATTCCATGTGTTATTATTATATTTTTAAATTTGACCAGAGAGAGACGAAGAGAGAAAAGGAAAGTGAGAAAACAAGCTGTCGGGGCCAGGACTCGAACTGCAGTCGGCCATGTGGGAATCCAGCACCTTTAGCCACCTCGCCACCTGCCAGCCCCCGCGTGTGTACCTTTTCAGCTGTTGTTCATGCTGACTTTCCTTCTCCAGCTATTTCCTTTGCGACTTATTTTATACATTCTCCTCAAAAATCACCATTAGAGAAGTGGCAGAAACAGTCCCTTTCTGAGCACAGTGGCGTCTGAGGTGCACAGTTAGGAGGTGTGTGTCCAGGAGGAATTACGCAAGGCCTGTTTTTGCTGATGCCAGCTCTTGTCTTGGAGAGCAGCACCGAGGTCCCATCAGGCTTCCCCCCAGAATTGGGCTTGTCCAGATGCAGTGTGTCCTGTCTGCCCTGACGCTTTTAATTCCACTAGAGAATGTGTGTTCTTGTGGGGAGAGAGAGAGAGAGAGAAAATGAGAGAAAGTGAGAAAGCACCCCCATGGGGAAGAGTCGTGCCACAGAACAACTGGAATACCCACATGCAAAAGACGAAACTTACACCAGCACTTCATATCATATCTCTTCTCCATTTCTCCCTCCTTTTCGGATTTTGGGATTTGGGACACATACACACACATCAGCATGTTTCTCAAGCCACAGGGCCCGAGACTCGAACCGGGCAGTTGGCCATATGGGGTCCAGCCGCCCTGACCGCCACACAACCTGTTGGCTCTGCCCTGGCACTTTCTGTGCATGATATTGTAGATGGGGTTTGTAATGAGAGAAATAGAATTGTGACTTTTTGTTTTGTTTTTAGTGGCAGATTTTCTGACCATGGTATGGATAGGAAATGTTATAGGGTAAGAGTCGTTTACGCCGCATTTCCTTCTCTTCCATCCCTCTCCTGTTGTGTTGGGATTTGGGGCATGCACACACACACTTCTAGCATGTTCCACAAGCTGCTGAGGCTGGGACTCGAACTGCTTTTTGCCATTTGGGATCTTACTCCTGTATCCACCAGGTCATGGGGCCAACCCATAATTCTATTTTTTATTTCTAACCTCTGTACTGTTTCCCATAATGGCTATACTAATTTACATTTCTAATGGTTAAGATAATAAAATGGGGGGAGGGGATAATGTTTTCAACAAACAGAACTGGAATACCCACATGCAAAAGAAGAAACTTACACCAGCACTTCATATCATATACGAAAATTAACTCAAGATGAATCCAAGATCTAACTGGAAGAGCGAAAACAAACTCTTAGAAGAAAACATAGGTATAAATCTTTATGACTTTTGATTAAGTAGCAGTTAGATTTGACACCTACAGGACAAGCAACTGGGACCAGCAGGTGGCATAGTGCCTAAGGTGCTCAACTTGCACATGGCTGACTGTGGTTCGAGTCCTAGACCTGGTGTGTAGAGTATTTCTCAGATTTGTCAGGAGCTTACAGAAAAGTGAATTTCTGTAAGGCCTGGTGGCTTGCTTTCTCACTTTCCCTCTCTCAGGTAAATTAAAAAAATTTTTAAAAAAATAACATCAAATAAAGTAAAATAGTTCTTAAAAAAAGATAAGCAACCAAGAGAAAAATAAATTATACATCATCAGAATTAAAAACTCTTCTATCATAAAACACATTGTCAAGAAAGTGAAGAAATAATTTTCAGAATGAGAGAAAAAAATTTACTGATCATCTATCTGATAGGCACCTAGGATCCAGAATACACAAAGAGCTCTTAGAATTCAGTAATAAAAAGGACAAATCCTAACCAATTTTTGGTACAAAATGTAATTAGCAAAATTCTTATGCTAGTGATTTAAAATAGCATTTAAAAATCATTAAAAAAATCATGTAAAGGTCTTAAATAGGCATTTCTTTAAAGAAAATGGCCAATCAACACATGAAAAAATATTCAATATCACCAGTTGCTAGAGAAATACAAATAAAAACCACAGTATGATATCGCTTACATCTATAGGATAGCTAAAATTTAAAAATAAAGAGGAAAATAGTAAGTATTGACAAGGTTGTAGGAAAATTGAAACCATATGTTATGAGCGGGAATGTGAAGTGGTTTAGCTGCTATGGAGAACGGCTTGTTGGTTCCTCAAAGTCAGACGTGTGGTTACCACATGACTCAGCACTTCTCAAGAAAAGTGAAATATATGTTGGTACAAGAAACCTGTGCACGGGTGTTCATGGCGGATTTCTCAGAGTGGCCAAGAAGTGGGAATGACGGGCTGGTTCCGTGGCCTGGTAGGTACGGCAGCCAGATCCCACATGGCCGAAGGCATGGTTTGATTTCTCAAATCCGGTGACTTGAGAAACGTGTGTGTGTGTGTGTGTGTGTGTGCATGTGTGTGTGTGTGTGCTCACACACATGCATGCACGCCCCCAGAATTCCTAACAGAGTGAGAGCTGGAGAAGGCTCACTGCGTGCTTGTGCCCCCAGGGTGCTCGCTCCTCTCCTCTCCTCTCTCCGCCTCTTGCTGTTGGATGCACATGTCCAGATGAACCTTGGAAAACTGCCGAGTGAGGAGCCGGGCACAAGGGCACACACATGGTTCCCTGTACATGGATGTCGGAGTAGGCAGATAGGTGGACACGGGAAGATGAGGGGCTTTTGGAAGGGGGAGCAGAGAGGACGGGGAGTAGCTGCTGCTAATTTGGAGTTTCTTTGTGGGTAGGATGACAAAGATACTCTGGAAAGAGACAGTGGAAAGGGTTGCACAACTCCCAGACTGTATTAAAACCGGTGAATGATAAGTTCTAAAGTATGACTTGTTTGGTATGCAAATTAGATCTCAGTTTAAAAAGTGGCCTCAGTGGCAGGTTCTTATTGTCAGGATAATTTGAGTAAATAAAGATGCACACATTGGGAGAACTTCATCCCAGGGCTGGTCCTGATCCCGGGGTGGGTAAGCTTCTGGGAAACGTCCCTACGGCTCCATCCCTCTGGAGGAGGGTTTAACAGGCAGCCAGCCACCCCGCCCCGGCAGCTGGCCACCC